TGCGGATTTCGCTGTTTTACAGCGTTCCAGTGACAATCTAAACAGATTTAATTATAGGTTGGTGTCACTTTCAGGGAACATTGCGAATTTCTGCCAGGAATTGAATGTTACATCTATCTTCCAGTTCCTTTTAATCCCTACAGTTAGAGATATTACAATAATGCATTACTCAGAGTAAAACGTCCAGGTATCATTCTTATCTCTTTCGTCATCATATATCTTCGTAACATGATTAAAAAAACCGTAGTTCACTCAGTGTAAGCGCAAAGGTGATATCCCTGACGATCTAAGCAATCTGTCTCGATCATTATGCTGAGTCTTTTGTACACTATAATTAGAAGGTAATTATGAGACCAACCGAACTATATCTAAACCAGTCAATGCATTCTCTCGTGATTCGTAGGGTATTTTAGAGAACACGGCTTCATTGCCAATGCAGACGCCATGTTCGTTAGCCCCCATTTCGGCACCCCAACACCAAGCTGGTTTCGATAAGATGCATCGATATGTTGTTGAAACTTGTGGAATCGAAATATGTGTACACTAAATTGATAAATCTGGTAAATGTTGCGATAGAAAATGACGAACAAAAATTCTACCTGAACAAAATCTTTATTCTCACTTGTATGTTCATTGGAGACCAAAATCACTTCTTGAACTTCATTTGCTGGCCGATCGGAATTCTTGCCAAATATGCGAAAATTTGAATCTGTCAGAGGCGGTAAAACAACAAATGTATCACATGAATAGGGTCTACTCGCCATTGTTCGAAGTAATCAACTAGATTATCAGTAGGAGAAGAAAATAAGCACAAATTATTTTCAGTCGATTCAGCTATGTATCGCCTGCTGTTATCAGAACCAATTACCTCGTGACTTTCGGTAGATGACGCACTTGTCCCATACTTTTAGGTATTGTTCAATAAGCAGTGTATTGCTTATATTTTGAAAAGACAATTTCAGTCATTTGTGAGCGTATCATCGGCCTAGGCAGATTTATTTTACCGGGAAGAACTTTATTTTCGATGACTTTAGATCATTGTGGTCATTACCCATGTTTTCTAATTTTACTTTCACATAGTCAAAGCTTCACTGGTTGGTATAAATAATATTTGAAATCTCTGACTATTGTTTCAGCTATGAGCTCAATAAGATCGTCAACGTTTTTGTCTGTTAAAACGAGTCCGATCGAATCATTGTGCTTGTCAATGGTTCCTCGGCAACGTACGAACCGATCGCCTAGCACGACTAGTTTAGTTATCGATCTGACAGATTTTCCTGAACCACCACCGCCAGCTCCACCGAGTCGGTATGGATAATTAGCACATATTCAAACCTACAAATTGTTACCGCGAAAAGTTCGGTAATTCCGATGAATTATTTATTTTGAAAGCGGCTAGTTTTGTTCAAAACGTTTTATTCTTAACAACCAGAATTGATCAGATCGATTGAAAATGTTCTGGTACCAGAAACTGAGGAAGAGAGAAATCAAATCGCAAGGATCACAGCATCGAGAGCAACAGGCAGCTCGTCTCTTGATTGTCATTCATTTAATCGTCAATACTGTTCGATCGCTTGCATGGCTTATAATTGAAATACTCATCTGTTTGTTTTTAAGTTTCTTGTAGTCATTAAAATCATCGGTGCTGTCTCAATAGACTCTTCAGTCGTTAACAGTATCACCGATATTCGTCCGAATCTTTTGCTGATGTGGTCAGCTCGTAGAATACGAAGACGTGACCCCTACAAATATTTAGCTGGTAGGAAAAAGAACGATTTAAATTCGATGAAAAGCGTATCGATCATGTCTTGTTGGACGAACACGTCTGCAAACAGAGCTTCCGTTATTATCCTTGCACTTATCATGTGTGCAGCAAGTGTACAAATACTGATCGATTATGGAGAATGATTATTAAAATATATACGATATTTTCGTGGTGCATCATCGAATAAAACTTTATTAGACATTGATATGACTCCGTTTTTCTATCGTTGCGATGATTCTGTCTATCTGTAAGAATCTGCGCTGAAATTCTGATGAGGACGTGACGGAATTTGTTCGGAGGTTTCAAATCTATTCTGTTATTTTCACCTATTGGAACACGAATCTAAGTATCAGCGTTTTCAAAGTAAACAACATAAATGATGTGGTATCAGAGCCCGTCGCATTGACTCGTGTGCTAATCGGTGTCATCTGTTCAAAATTGATTCAATCGCAGAGAAAAATATTTATCTCTTCGAGCTTCGAGTGCCCGAAATGGTGCTATATAAACTGAGGCTGTAGTTATTTCAATATGTGTGCTATTTGCTTGGAGTTTTCATGCTTACTGATCTATTCTTGTTTGACTTTCCTTTAAAATATGTTCGTTTTCTAATGGGGCTTGCAGCTAATCATATGGCTATCTAACGGATTGCACACACTGTTTCTAATTATCTCCCCGATGTTATAACGACGATTAATTCGGTGCAAGCGATTCATTTTGGTGTGAATGATTTCGCTGACGTCGATATCTGTATGGCACGTTCGATGCCATTATTATTCGCTCATGATATCGGAAGTATTGGTCAAAATATTCGAATGGGAGCATTCCGCCGCCGCAAGAAAACTGATTGAATTTTGTTTTCATACGATGTAACATATTCGAAATATCAGGAGAAAGTTTGGCGTCAGAGGCAAATCTCACACATATATAATACAGTGAGTGTCTGTTATAGATGAACAGATAAAACAGTTACGAACACCATTTGAAAGGTATATTTCATGCTTTATTTTGTACAAATGAACTACACAACTACTTTGAGCATCATGAACATTCTCGTGAGTAGATAAGAATAGAAAAGCGTGCACTTGAGAGCGTAAAGATTAGAGTCTATAACTCATTCGTAATGATATCTATCTGATTACTAGAAATTTGTTGTTCTATCAAAAATCATTGGAATAAAATCTTTTTCAGGAAATTTCGCGTCGGGATATTTTGCTCGTTCGTACGTATCGACAACGACACAGATTAACGAGAGACCCATGATGATCAATACTGCTGTCATCAGTATAAGGAGTGACCGACCGACGAGTAAATGTCGATTGCGTTTTCGATATTGTTTGATTTGTTGACGATTCAGTTCTTGGTAAATATCATTGCGAATTTTTTCTTGAGATTCCTCAGTGAAAATATTCGGTTCGGCAAAGAGATAATGATCATCATCGTCGTCGTGAGATTGAAAATGAACCGCAAAGATATCTTGAGCGCGTAGAACGGGTCGTTGGTGTAATCGGCGATTAAAATCAATGCGCAGGTCGATTGAAATATTTTTACTTTTTTCACGCAGCTCGCGACGTTTAGAACGCAGTTCTTGCAGAAATTTATTCGTTATACTCGTCGGATTCGAATCGTAATTATTGGATTGCGTAGTTGAATAGACATCATAATCTTCGTTGTCTTTCGGCAGTGAACAAGTCGTTTGACTAGATGGGAGTGCTTGCGTAGATGTTGCACTTCTATCATGAATCATTTCGGCAGATGTACTTCGTCTTATCTGATTACCAAGAGATGCAAAAGCAGCAGCAATAGTCGCGCGACGACGCGGATCGAGAGATCGTCGTTTCAGAAATGAACTCAGACGAGTTGTCGTCGGCTTTTCGCTCGCTGTTTGAATTGTTGTTGGCAATGGTGGAGCTTGTGGAACTTCATTCTCAATTCTCATCAGAGGTATCAGTTCCGGTGGTGAATTGCGCTTGTCGGATACTTCCGGTACACGAGTTACTTCAAAACGATGCGCCGCCATGGATCTAAAAAGATGAAACAAATAATCTAAAGTTAGTTCCGATGAGATGTGTGCGTCATCACGAAGAGAAATAGAAAATTTCTTCTCAGCTGAATAATGTTTTTTTTACCCGGAGCGCATCACCGTTAGGCAAGAACGAATATGAATAAATATGTTACATTAATGTATTCTTATCAATGGTGTTTTAGAATTTATTACACATCGCTGCTCTGCACTTGGTTATATTACCATTTGTTTCGAGAAGAAAGAACCTGGTAAAAATAGATATGGAAATCGTTCGCAAATCTGTAACTCGTGAGAAGGAGCAGCAGCTGCATGTCTTGCTGAATTGTTCTTCAGCGTCGTTAATGACGCAATTTCTATTGGTCAATCGACTCACCAATATTGAGTCGACGATAGAGTATTAGATAACAAACTAGTAGATGAGAATGCATCGATAAACAGTTGCAATTGTTTATTTCGCTAGAAATATCGTTCGACATTTCATTAGAAAGTTCGTTCGTTTCAAATTGATTAATCTAATTGGTTAATTGCTTGCCGAAAAAAAAACAACACATTTATTGCCCAGCGTTCTTCTTTTTTTTTGAATAACAACAAGTTAGATTCCTCATGAGTGTGTATAACCCAAAAAAGGGCGAGAGAAAATCTTTTAGCAAGACATTAGTTGATTAATTCGTCATCGTGCTGTTTTTTTTTGTCTTCTTCGCTAAGATTAAACAAAGTACTTTTCTTTTTCATCTTGATTTCCACTTTGATAATATTTTAATTATATCTTTATGCACACCTGTCAAACACCTGCGTGTTTCTTTTGTGACAAAGTCAGAAACGCTTTTTGCACTTGAAACTGTTTTTCTCGCTTTTTTTTCGATTGTTTATTCAAACGAAGAGATCATCATGTCATATTGCAATCGATGGATTTTGTTAAAATTTATTTATGACTATTATCGACTGTGTTGACAAATAGATTGGCCGGTAAGTTAGTCGTTCTCTTTCGTTTTTTTTCTCATTTTCTCCTGTTATTATTATGCTTTTGTACATATTCGTTTGCATTTTTCTTTTTCAGGTTTCACCTTTTCACTTTTTCTTCTTTCGCTTTCTTTATTTTCTTCTTTTTCCCTTCCTTCTGTCTACATACTCGCAACTTATTTCTTACCTACTTCTCGGTTCTTTTAATATATTATACCTTATTGCTTTCGCCCAATAATATAAATACTCGTGATGAGTAGTCCACGTAAATTCGCTGAGAAAATCGCTCTTCTCCAACAGAAACAAGCTGAAGATGATGCAGCATTTAACACCATTCTATACGAAGTCGAAGCGGCCAAACAGGTATGACACCACTCGAATTCGATGGCGAAGAAAAAAACAAGTACACGTCGCTTTTTTTCTCTAGAAAGCCGATCGAGGGTCTTCGACAAAAACAAAACTAGATGTACCAACACGTAAATATGAGGTAAACTTATTCATGTTACGATAAAATTTGACTATTTTATTCAACTTTATCAGATACCGAATAGAGTGAATCATTCAGATAACAATAACTATACGAATCAGCCCATCAAGGTATGTTAACAACAAAATCGATCGATAATAAGCGTTAGTGAACTCTATTTAGACTGAAAATAACAACGGCTCTGACCGATTGTTACAACCGCCTGAGAATCCACAATGGCGTCGGTAAGAAAAACAACTTCTACATCTCGATAATGCTTGATTTTTATCGTAGAACTCATTCGGATTCGTCACTTCACCATGCGATGATGCCAGCGGTTGTTGCACATTACCATGCTCAAGTTGATAATCATGATAATAGTTCGTGTTGAAAAATTCCATCTTCATCATTTCGTCTTCTTTGTTGCTGTTTAGATCAACGAATCGATTTTGATATCAACGATGTCAAATTAGAACCGCCTCACTATGGTAATCAAGCAACATATCAACAGTTCCACCATGCACAAATGCCAATGAATCACTATTACGATTTAAATAATAATAATTATCCACATGATCAAACAAATATGTTTTACTCATCTGGACAACAACCAATTGCACCTTCAACGATAAATAATCAGCAGCATTCACTTTTAGGACCACGTTTTAGTGGTGGAAATGTTAATCCAAACGTTCTGATGTTGCCACCCAATCAACATCCACGTAGTGGTGGTTCATTGCCTGATTTACGTAATGAAAATGTTTTTAGTAATGCTACTAATAATCACAGCCATAATCATTATCAACAATCGTTCTTTACTACAGCACCAGCATCACATTCAACGAATAATGATGATCTATATGCACTTGTAAGTCTTGATTGCTGAGTTCGAACATCGGAAAAAGGAAAACGCTGGTTTTCTTAGGGTCCACAACAACAATTACCATCACAGAGTGGGCCGTTGAAGACAAGTCCAAGTATTCGTCGTCGACATAGTCCGATCGGTGATGGAAAAGCAGCCTCACCACGTCGACAAAACTCACCATCGCCAGATGTGTCTTCTGTAAGTTTAGATTTTCTAAAAATTCGTTTTTCATAAACATTCTTCGATAGATTCAACAAAATCATTATCGAGCTGAACCACAAAGTCCTCCATCTTTATCGAGTTATTCACCACAAAATTCACCTCATTTATTGGCAAGCCCTGCCAATGAACTTTCTCCATTTTCTCCACAACAACAACAACAGCAGCAGCAGCAATCGACAGATAGCCCACAACATTATTTTTCATTACCAAATCAGTTTGATCAGATTACATTGGTAAAACGAAAAGCGTTCTTCTACGCAAAAAAAACGATTTTCTTTCTTCTCAGGATAACAAATTCTACACTCAACAACAACAACAACAACAACAATCACCGCCATCTAAACAACAAAATCATTCCCTTCCGACAACACCTGGCGTCTCGAATAATTTTGCACCAAGAGATTTCTACACATCGTTTATCGATGACATGTAAACTTCGACTATTCTACATTTCTTTCATAGTTTTGCTTCTTTCCGTTTCAAAAGGACACCTCCATACGTCCATAATCAATCACCTGGAAGTATGTCGAACAATGGAAATCAAAAGAGTCCTACAATTCCGAATATAATTTTAACGGGTAATTATATCCTGCGTGAGAATATCTCGTAAAAATTACCATTGACATAACGTTTTTTTTATTAGCGAGAGTGCATTGTAATTTAGAGTAATAATTGATTGGAACGACACTATAAGTAGAAGTCAAAATCTTGACTTTCTCTTCGTTGTATTTGTTCTGGTAGTCACAGGAGTATCGAAAGTTAATTTATTGGTTGAACCACTGTGAGTTTAAACATGAACTTTGGTTCGCGTGTTTCAAACCGAGTGAAATTCCTGTGAGATTAAAGTGTTCCATAGTAAACAAACTAGAATCGAAAGTTAAATGTAACACAACCTTAGAGATTTCGATTGTATTATCAGGAGAATCCAACGCCTAATTATAGATATGAAATAGTCCAGACAACTTTCAACTCATCGAATATTCTTCTGACTACTTCCTAGTCGAATGTTCTCGACGGGCTATTTTTGACTCTGAATGACACTTGTTCTGTTTTCTTCCATTCGTAGATGTCGATAGTTCGAAGTTAGATCTCTCGAAAGAATTGAACAATGACTTTTCACTTGCATTTGATCATCTAATTGATGCAACAGATTTACAGTTACCTGCAGATGATTTCGTAAGTAGATTTCACCGACGACATATCTTCGTTTGCATATATTTTTCTCGTTTCTTCTTCAGTTGCTCAACGGAGCTGATCTTTCTCTTGATTCAAACCTATGTGATGATACATTTCGTATGGAACGTTAACTTGATATTCAATGACATATTGTGGCGAAATCATGCACTGCAACAATCGAATTTCATATTTGTTTTTATTTGATTTTTTTTTTTGGTAGTGACAAATTCTTTTTCTTTTGTAACATATTTTCGTTCGAGCATGTTATTTTTCCTCAACTGATATGAACTACTTGAGTGTGGACGTTATTGCTATACCTAATGGAAAGTAAACTAGCTAAACGATGAAGATGCGCTGTCGATCAGGCAACAAAAAGAGAAAGAGATGCCAAGCTCAGAAGAAGGGACTGAGAGAAAGAGAGAACAGCATCACTCAGGAAAACTCGTGTGTGTTTATGTGTTATCAGTTGTTTTCATCTTTCCTCCTTCGATTTCCTTTTCGTGTGGTTTGCTGTTGTGAATCTTTTTCCTATCATTCGAATACACTGCATCATTTCTCTGTATGACGTATAACGCTCTATTCGTGTTTTCCTTTTGTATAATGTGTACATTTCACATATGAATACGAACATTTGTTCTCTTTGACGTCTATCAAGGAACTTTTTTAGTTAGTCGGTGTCTTTTTCGGAATGTCTTACTGTGGTTTTTTTTTCTTCTTTTTTCACTTCTCAGGTAAGATTGTTAATGAAAATAATCACTCTCTTGCTTGCGGACATAACAGAAATTCGATTATATCAGTTGTGTTTGTTTTCCTTTTTGTTCCATACATTTCTTCTTCTTTTATTCTTTGTACAAATGTAAAACACTAATCATAATAATAATAATAAGTTGTCTTTTTATTAAAGATTAACCGATTGTTGATGTAAATGAATTTGTCATTGACTTTCATCTGCGTATAAAATGCAGCTAATGAATAAATTTCAATTGAAGTTCGAATGAAAGCGTAGAAGATTGTCAAGGTCAGCTAGTGACCGGATAATTTCGATAATGTTATTTATTTCAAGACCTTCACTCGACATGGACGAATTTCTCCTTCCGGATTCTGATTTGCATAGAATAAAAGAAGAAACATCTGTGCATGGAAGGAATTCGCTTAAAGACACATGTCAGCAACAGCAATCTCGAAATCATATGTTATGATAAACTTCAAAGTTTGAAATGAAGAAGACAAATGTCACCTTGAACTGCAATATATTTACATTCGTTTGTAAAATTTACCATATCATCTGGTACATGTGTGTATACTTTGCTCCGACGCTTATATTTCGTTGACAGATCACTTGCGTAATCATCATGACATATGTCTCAATAAAAGATGCCAATCATCAATCCTTTTTTTTGCTTCTTTATTGGGCTTCCCTACTTGTCTACAAATGTAAAGCAGATGAGAGAAGGTCACTCGGCACCTGTATGCTCTCTTGTAACCGTTTTATTTTCTGCCGATAAGAAAAGAAACTATCAATGAACATGTGCGTTGATTATTACTAACCTATAGAGCAAGCTATGATTGATTCTTTCCTTCTTTTGCAGACCCGACATTGATCAAGTCATTGATTAGTAAATGACGACACACCAGACACTCGTCTATCACCCCCGATGATCAAATCGCCGTCTACTGACGAAAAGATTAAACAAAAAACGTTCCGAATGAGAAACAGATTTGCACATCTACACGTGGATATTGACTATTCTTTGTTTATGATTATGAATATAACCACATTCATTGAAAAGGACATAGATTGCTNAAGCGGTCGGAGATGACTTTTGTATATTTAAGCTAACTGCGTGTGTATAAACTCAGCTTGACGTCGTCGTCGAGAAGTGATAATTAATGTTCGATTACTTTTCAGTTTCTTTTTGTCCAGTCCTCATCTCATCAGTTTTACTCCCTAATGTTCACACAAGTCTGAAGTTCAATGAGGAAAAAGAAGAAAAGCTTAATGAGGTACTCCGAGCAATTGTATAACTGTAATAGAAAGAATAATACGAAATCATCAACAATAGGAGGAAAAAGAAAGAATATGAGAAAAGGGGAGAGAGAGAGAAGGAGAGAAAGGATGTTTTATGTATATAAATATATGTATATATATATATCTGAATGACGTTTCTGTTCGGTTCCTCCACCTACTATCGTCTTTCGACGTCATGAAGATATGGAAGCATTGCGTTTATCAAAAAAGAACTCGACATATATATATAAGTTGCTATTTCTTGTTTCTTCTCTTTCTTTATCTTTTCTAGCATGTATATGTATCTATTCTATACAATGAGGTTTATATAATCAAGGAAAAAAAAGGATTGCTACATTGAGAGAATGTTCAGACATTTTCTCTGATAATAATGTTACTTTCTTTGCTCTAGTATCTTTCAGTTCGTCTTTACTTTGTTCCACAGATACGTCTCAGCATCTAAATTAAGTTGCGATAATTGTTTTTTCTTTGTTGACTGCCTGCATTCAGTTGACTGATAGGCCAACAAACATATGTTGATGCGTATAGTTGTATGTGTATTACTCCAATCTTTCATCTGATTTATTCAACTAGTAGAACGAAGGAAAAGTTCAAAGAGAAATATTCGACAAGTCTTTTCATTCTTCACAATTGAATCATCATGGGAGCATGGTATGTATACAAATGTCCATTGATCATTTTTGTATTCCCGCGCAGTTGTCGTTTAGTCTCAATCGATTATTAAATAAATTTTCTTATTTTTCTCTTTCTAGGCTTTGCACAAGCTCAAAAAATGCCGCAAAATCCGAAGGCACATTACTTCGTATGTATTTTGTTTGTATTTATCTAACTATTTGTCGTCGAAGAGGATTAGTTGATAGATGCAGACGGGTGTGCAATGTATAGTGGAGATTTCCTTCAACAATATCACCCTATAAAGGAGAAAAAGAAGTTATTCAGTTCTTAGCTTTATCTCTGCGAGAGATCTATCCACTTATATTTGTTTTAGACGGAGAGTATTCAATTAATATTTATTTTTCCAGTGAGATCAGCAAATTTGATACATTTTTGTTAGAATCATATGTCTGTTATTCGGAGACAAATAACTCACAAAAAGAGGCAATAAGGAATCCTCATAAAGACTATCGTTATGACGCGGATCCGAGACGAAGGAAACAACCTGGAGATTGTCTCGAATATGTATTCTCATATGTTTCGAGTAATCGTTTTCTAATGAAGGAGAAACTGAATCATATTATATTCGGTCAGAAAGTCTACTGTTTGATGTTTTTGTCAATGCATAGTCTTTCTTTGTTGGATGCAAATGCGGAGTAATCATTCTTTTTCTACACTGATTGATTTGTGTTTTGTTACCCTTCTACTTTATAGAATAGAAAAACATTGTCTTCGTTCCTTATTTAGATCCGTCGACACCCGACAAAGATTCTCGACATGGTGCACAACATCATATCGGTAGTAGTGGTACGCATACTGGTATCACAAATTCCGTTCGAAAGAATGAAACGCGAACCGAAAGGAAACATCCTACGGTCGAATCGACTCCTTCTATACGATCCAATGCAGTATCAACACCGATTATCACAAGAGAAAGAGAAGGAGATGACATTATGCAACAATCGAATGCAGGTATAAGTTTAACAGAATCGCAATTCTATGCGCGAACATCAAATACACCACAAACAAAACGATCGGACTTGAACGAAAGAAAAATGAACGAGATATCGCACGATAATGTCGCTGATATGAAAATAAGCAGAAATCAAATGGTCCGAGATAATGGTAAGAATGCTATTGATAAAATCTTTCGAATAGTAAATTATTCGCCAATTTAGTGTTACCAACACATTGGATTAGAGATGAAAAAGCCGTACAAAAGCAAGAATTCGTTCTCAATGAACCTGTTGACAGTGAGTTATTTCTTCTTATTACTGAATTTCAAACTTTGCTTTTCCCAATCTCCTTAGCGAATTCCCCTTCGATGAGTCGACCGGCACGACCATTATCAAGCACAAGTGTTATCAATCCTTTTGAACGTCTTCGTCCAATGGATATGCAAAATAAGCCGCATGAATCCAAAGATGAGTCTTTACAAATCTTCGATCAACTATCAAATTCATCGAGTCAACCTATACCACAACAGAAAATTTCATTGGAATCGGTTCCTGTGAACAAATTCACACGAATGTCGGCGGAACCAATCGACGATAATAACGATTCATCCACATCCACAGCGACGAATCGTTCAATTCATCTACCTGTTGAAAAACAACGCGGTATGTCCGAAATCATACGAAAACGTAATAGTCGTTCGAAAGTCGAAGATTACAAACGATCGATTCAAAAAGCTAGCACATACGACGAAGATCAACATACGATTCCATCGAAAGTTGAGCATGAATTATCATCCGTGATAGAAAATGCTTCACCAACGGATCGAAAACCTAAACAAATCAATAAAGCATTTTCTGTCGATATACCTATCAGTTTCGAACATAATAATGATAATCGCGCACAGATGTCGATCGAAAGATTGAATGTCTTATTATCAAATGAAGAATTGCGAGATGTGACGAATGAGTAAGTGAAAATTCATTAATGGACGTACTTCTATTTGTATGAATTTAGACTTGATGAAAAGGCAAGCGTTGCCAATAAGAAAACATTATTCGAAACATTCTCAAAGGATCCAAAACTTGGAGGAACTCTACCTCGCTCAAAATCGTTCAAAACTGAGGAGTACGATGAATTTTATTTTACGTGCAATGCAATTCTTCTTGTTCTAGACCTGCACCACCGGCAAGAAGACTCAGTATCGAGAATCAACGTTTTGAAAAAGAAGATCAACCTGAAGTCGACAGTCCAACCGAAAAGAAGCAACCCGAAGATGAAACATTCGATGATGATATTTCAAAACTATCATTCAAAGAAAAAATGACTTTGTTCAAAAAGAAAAATATCATTGGAACACCGACGCTAGCAGTAGCCAAACCGAATCGAAGTCGACTTACACAAGTATTTTCAATCGAAATCATTGACAATCATTTCTTTGTGTTCTTCTCATTCTAGCCAATTACAGCCGAAGAAGTTCAAGCTGCTGTGAACTTCACTCCACCATCGAGCACAAAAGATTTATCTGAAATTCATCCTGGTATGTATAAGCATGTCCCATGTTCCTATTCTTTGACTCGTTATGCCTCTGTAGAAATATATGAATACCTTGAGCATGATCATTTATTTTTATCATCGTCCAACGCACGAGATATCGATCTGCATGAAATGTACAAACACACATTTGGTATACTTTTCTCTACTTATTGAACACACCTATATCGGACGAACGTTTGGTTCTTTAGATGAAACAAACAAAACCAATCCACCCGACCAAGACATAATCCTACCGGTGAGCAAAAGGTAAATGTTATCGATTCATAGCAAACTCAGATCATATATGTAAAACTCAATTACAGATTGGAGCAATTCAAAATACTTGGTGAACCCGAATTGATAAAGCCACACAAACTTATGGAAGAACATAAGAGCACGCGTAAAACACCAACAATGAAATACAGTGGGAAGAAAACCAATACCGAACAGCAACAACGTGCAAAAACTGTTGATATTGTTCGTCTCAAAACTGGTGAGTGTTGTTTAATGAATCATTACTTGTCTTACATCATCATTCATGTTCGCACTTCTCGTAATTGAGTCAGATTAAATCATTGCTCAATCGATGACATTGGCTTAGTGATGATTAGTTACTTGTTTTATCAATGCCGCTAGCTATTTCTTGTTTTCTATTGCTTGCACAGAGAACTGTTCTCTTACGTAATGATGATTCTAAACGAGAATATGAGACACTTTGTTTCCTTTCGAATCCATATATGACCATCGCAATCGACAGGAACGGATAGAGATGACATAAATTATCTTTATATTTATTGACAATGTCGGGGACAAGGATGGATTAGTGTTTCTGTCTGTTCAAATATGTGAGAAAATAAATCGCGTAGTATCATCATTATTTTGACGAGAAGACTAGTTTGAGTATTATGGGACAATGTCTGGAGAGAAGTCTACAAAAGGATGCGAGAAGTACTTAATGATTGAAAGAAAACCAGACGATTGACTGGAACTTGTGTTTTTATCATAGACTCAACTATTAAATCCAAGGATGCCAATCAGACATCGATATCAACAAAGACAAGGAATGGCACAAGTAAGGATATAATTTCATCAAGATCTGAATCGGAAAAGAGTCTTTATTTAGCATCAGCAAAAGCGAATCACAATGTCGTTTCGGTATTAAAATCGGACACAGTATCGGTGTTAAAGCCTGATGATCATCTGGACGATTTCTTTGGAGATGGAAATAAGCTGTTCGCTAATGAATCGTCAATTCATCTGGATGCCGATGATCTCGATCGTATTGCCGAGAATACTGTTCGGTAGGTAAAACAAACGAATCGAACGATTTTCTATCGGCATTTTCATCAGATTGCAATCCCAACCGGCACGTGTTCGGCCACCACGCCGTCAACAACAGGGAGCGAAGAATCCTCTCCGTCAAATCCAAGCAACTGTACCAACAGAGAACGAATACACTGAAGTTCGCACCGATCTTTCAGAACAAGAAGTTCGTCGAATTAAACGAGCACAAAGTATGAGCAAATGCCACACATAGTTAGCATAGAAGTTTTATCATAGCATGACAGAAATAGTTGGATAGTTATGCGTTATTGGAGATGTTTTGTTAACTTCTACGTCGGCCTCGAAGTCTCCCTCGGAAAGAATGAGATTAGATTTCATCCACAGATTGGATACTTAACGAGTTCATTTCTGTTTTCTTCAAAGTTGGCGAAAATGCTGGTCTAGCTCAAGAAGCGTTGGCTGCACTGGCCGCAACAGAAAATTTCGCTGAAATAAGCTTACGTAAAGTCGATCTCTCTCCCGTTGTCAAATTTGGTTATGAACCCTACAAGGAAACGATGCTTATCCTAATAAAAGGCCGTCGTCAATGTTCGTTGCGGTTAATTAATCCCATTTATGACTCAATCAATGAAGGCGATTGCTATCTATTAATAACACCATTGAAAGTCTTTGCATGGATCGGTCGTTATGCGAATACATTAGAAAAGGCAAGAACAACAGATCTAATTGATTATCTAAGACAACATCGTGATTTTGGTTTACGTAACGAAGTGAAGTATTTCATCTTAGATCAGGCTAAAGATGATACAGAAGATGACAGTCATGCAGAATTTCGTGATATGTTGCATGGTGAAATCGATGAATACAAATCGATGGACGAAGTCACAGATGATGATGTTTATGAGGCGAACATCACGGAACTGACTCGCGTGTACCGAGTCGAAAACGATTTGTTAATGCCATTGGAGAATTTTTGTTTTCGTTCATTATCGATTCAAATTCTTGATCCTAACGAAGTGTTCGTGTTTGATTTTGGCGCTGAACTCTACGTTTGGAACGGCAAGTTTGCTGATAAAACGAAAAGAAACATGGGTTTACAATTAGGTCAACAACTGTGGAATGACACATACGATTACAGTGAATGTGCACTCAATCCATTCGACCCACTCGATGGTAAATTACTTTAAAAAAACAGCGAGCTAAGCATTTGATTGATTTTTGTCTTCCATCTAGAACAAGCTGATCAAACTACGTCCAGCGGTGCAGTTCGACCGGAGTGGTGTATATTTGGAAAACAAAATCAAAACGTTGAAACATTATTATTCAAAGGTAAATTCTATGATTGGCCAGGTGATCTTCAAGAATTGAAACCGGCCAGTGATACGACAAACAATGTCACTAAAACACCGTCCTCACAACGCGTAAGTTTTTCATGTCGATTGAAGAGTTTGCCACATGAGTTCTTTTCATGTCTAGCCTCCGTCGATTCTCGATACTCTTAAACCAGCTGATGTGCAAAAGATGCTTTCTAAGCCGGACACTCCGGTCAATCTAGTCCTCGAACAAGTCAGCTTAGGTCGAGGCAAACATTGGTTTGATCCTGTTGAAATGCGCGGACATGAAGTTCAAACGAATTCGTTAGATATTTGGTACATAAATGAGAATGAACGGTATGAATTACCGAAGTCAAGTTACGGTCAATTCTATTCCGACGAAGTCTATATCGTTCGTTGGAGATATAAATTAGTCACAATAGTAAACAGCAAATCATCCGGACAGAAGCCGGACACAGGTCGAAATCGCGTTGCGTATTGGATTTGGCAAGGTGCAAACACAAATCCGAATGAGAAAGGTATTTCGGCATTAATGTCAGTGTTCTTCGACGAAGAAAAAGGTCCACATGTAAGTGAAATGTACCATTGGAAGATCTCAGTAAACATCGATCTTTCTCTGCATTAGATTCATGTTACGCAAGAACATGAAGATGCCACATTTTTACAATTATTCGATGGTACATTAACTATTCATATGGGTAAACGGAATCAATTGCCAGAGAAGAAATCCAATTGGCATCTATATGTTTTTCTTGGTGAATTTGTGGAGGAAACACATTGGTGGGAACTGTATATAAGCACAGCTAATTTACGTAGTCGAACATCGTTGTTATTGACAAATAATCATGAGAATCTAATGTTGCTCTGGCATGGATGTGGAACAACAGATGAACAACAAATATTAGCTCATCAGTCGGTAATGAAATTACGTGAACGGTACGATGAGATTGTATTGATAGAATTTCTATATGTTCTTGATATGTTTTGTAGATGTCCGGAGGAATTTCATTTTGAAGGTGACAGTGAAGATATTGAATTTTTCGAAATGCAAGAAGGTGACGAGATAGAACTGTTTTGGGAAGGAATGAATGAACGAAATCATCAACGACGATATTATTCATTACTAAATGGTAAGAATTCGTCAGGAACCGAATCGATTCTTCATGATGATCTGCTCTTTTCCAGCACAATCAGTTGCAAAACTCGCATCATCGATACGTATCTTTCATTTATCAAGTCTACATGGTCCATTTGTTGCTCAAGAACTTCTTTATCCTCTTCGTTCTCCTAATCATATTTCACCATTTCCATTTACTCAATCTGATCTTTATGAACTTCACCAACCGGCTTTGTGTTTAATCGACACAAATGCGGAATTATATATATGGCAAGGATGGAATGATCAATCAGATGTTGAACATTCGAATACCAATGCATCAGTTCGTGCTCCAAGAGACATTCGATTCACCACAGAACGTCGTTGCGCATTTCTGACTGCTCTGAACTATTACAAAGGTAAATTTCACCTGAATTCAAGTTCACCAAGCTAGAATGCACTTCTTCTGTTACTCTCTGTAGCCAAAACGGGTTCATCTACACTTGATCTACCATGTTCGATTGTCTATGCTGGTTTAGAACCAATCGATTTCATCAATTTATTTCCGAAATGGAATGTACATATCAAAGCTCGACAACGAAATCAAATGGTAACTATCCCGTCTTGGTTTTTCATTGCATAATCATCTCGAATGAATTGTAGGAAGGTAAAAAAGTGAATCAAAAAGATTCAGTCATCGATGTACTGAATAACTTGTGTCGAGAACAGTATAGTATTGAAGAACTTCGCGCTCGTCCATTACCCGAAGGTAGAAAATATTGCACATTTTGAATAATTTCCAATGAACATTTTGACATTTAGGTGTTGATCCGTCGAAAATCGAATCGTATCTATCGGAAGCTGATTTTCAAGTATGTTTCGTGTTTTTCTCTTTCATTCGATCGTTGTAATCATTGTTTTCACGCTGTTTAGAAAGAATTTCATATGACGAAAGATGAATTTTATGCTTTGCCATATTGGAAACAAACGAATATAAAAAAACCGCTCGGCTTTTTTTAAAACGCTCTTCAATAACGATCAAGAATACTCAAATGTTTCTTTCTCGTTGTCAATATTTACAAAAAACAGACATTTTTCGTTTTTTGTTCTGATGAATTGTTAAATATCTAATCACTCTTTCTCCTCGTTTTCTGTTTTATAGCTATTTTTTCACGATGCATGAATACACGATCTTCTTTTTGTTCGACGACTTCAGACGTTTTTGTTCTGTCTTTTCTTTTGTCTATTTTTACGAATGTGAAAAAGAAGATGATACAATAAAAGAATTGATTTGAAAGAAATAGCCCTGTCGTCGAGTAAAATTGATCGAAATATGAACAGCGTAGCTCTCCATCATGAACGTCCCTTTTCTTGATTCAACGGCATAGGAACTCCAGTCTAGGAAACCTAATATAAGTTCAGAAATGAAATCTTCGTTCGACGACCTCTAATCGCATTATTTGTTTCTGAGATTGATCTTCCTTGAAATGTGATATACTTCAGTTAACTCTTGTTCAAATACTATCTGTTTAAGCCTTCCAAACCAATCACTTGCTTCTTGTTTACTATGCACGACTGTAGTGAAACAAATGTTCATTGGGCGTGCGAAATGCATCGATGATTACATTATCTGTAATGTTCTAATTAATACTGGAATGTTTGTTGTTGTTATGAACGTATGGAAATGTTGTTTCAACAGTGATACAAAGGTAAGCATAGGCATATATGTCAGTGCATCGTCATAAGTATTCGGTTGCTAAATTTGGCTTCTTTTATGGAGTAACCTCGATTTGGAAGTATAAGGACATTGCAAACAGTGGATTTACATCGAACGAGGCTATTCATAAAGATTCTGTTTTGATGTTTTCGAATATTTGGTGAAGCCAAAGCGAAGAAAAAGAAAATTAGCTTTGAAATTCGATCATATCGATATTTCTCATCTTTTTCCATGAGAATCAGTGCACGAAAGAAAAGCTCGTCATTGTTTATTCACCTGTGCTCAAATGCAATTAAAACTAAAGCCTTTAAATCACTAATGTTATTCTCGACGAATAAATTGCTTTGCAAAACCTTATTCTGAGACATTCACCAGACAGATTCCCTATTGGAAATAAGTCTCTACACTCACGATGCAATTCGTTTCCAATCTCCTTGTATGTGCTATTGCTCTTGCAACCTATACGTCAGCTGTTCGTATTGGCTCCTTCAATTTACATCAGTATGGAAGCAAAAAGGCAGCGAATGCTGATTTAACCAACACTGTTGCTCAAATCATCAGCGATTTCGATTTAGCCATCATCCAAGAAATTAGTGATGTTTCATTGAGAGCTCCATATGTTCTTTTTGAAGAACTCAACAAAGTTTCACAAGAACCATACACAATGACATTGAGTCCACGTGTTGGCCGTTCAGCAACTAAGGAACAATACATTTTCTTCAATCGTGAAAGTCAATCCGGTGTTGAAATTGTTGAATCGTACATCTACGATGATATCAAAGACTTATTCGAACGACCACCGTAAGACTCGAAACGAAAACGAGATCATACAGTAATTTGTTCGCTTCTTCTAGCTTCATTGGTACATTTAAAGTCAAAAACCCAGGCAAATCTGGCGTGAAGTTATTCACAATTATGGATGTTCATCTCCGACCTAGTGCTGCTTACAGAGAATTACTCGATATGCGTACGGTCATTGAAGATTTTATTCAAATACATCCACAATATTTTGATCAAACACCAACATCCCTTCAAGAAGCTTTAGATCAAAATGTTGAAAATGCCACCGCTGGAAACAAGCCAAGTTTGAAAACCAATCATCCTATCTTAATCGTCGGCGATTTCAATGCTGATTGCTCATACATTTCCACCAAACGCCAGCAACTCCTCCGGTAAAACGTTACCCTACGAAACTAACCTCTTATTGAAATATTTCCATTTAGAACAATCGATTATGTTGACTTCACCTGGGCTATCAACAACGAAGTTAAAACCAACACTCGTCAAACATGCACCTACGATCGTATCCTCATCAACGGTGCCAACTTTGCTAATGCTATTGTTCCGAAGAGTAACACAACAGTTAACATTCAAGAGAAATACGGCATGACATTGCAAGAAGCTTTGGATGTCAGTGACCATATTCCAATTAAATTCGATATCGAATGGTAAACAGTGAAAAAACAAGTTTCATTCGCTTTCTTGATTGAATTGAATAAAATGAAGAAAATCGTCATCTTTCCCTTTAATATGCTCAACGAATTATGATCGAGTTGCTTAGAGAATAGAGTTTATTAGGTTTCAATCAATAGTATTGGTACAATCAATTTTGAAAGAAAAAATATCTGAGGAAACATATGAAGTAGAAGAATCAACAAGATAAGAAAATTATATTTGTACAATCACAATCAAAGAATAGCTACAATTATTGAACATATGTAATAAAAAGACAAGAAATTCTACTATTGTTAGTATTGCTATACTATGGTTGGAATCTGTTTGTTTATGTAGCTTTGGTTTTTTTACCAGCACGACTGGCAGCTTTGCTGGCTGACGCGGGGGCCTTGTCGGCTGAACGACCTTTTTTCGGTTGTTTAGCAGCTGAAGCTTCTATAAGCAAAAGGAAATTATGTAATCAAAGTGAAAGGATCATTTAACTAACCATCATCAGTGTTGTCTTCGTTGTCTTCGGGCTTTTCATCGTTGGTACGATCTTCGAAAGGTTCATCACTTTGACCTTTCTTCTTAGCGGATGCAGCTGATGTTGCTTTTTTGCCCGACGTTGGCGCTGATCGTTTCGTCGGTGCTTTTTTCGTTGTTGTATTTTTGGATTTATCTTCTGCAGCTTCATCGTCTTCAGATAACTTCAAATCGTCGTTGGCTGCCGCTTCTTCAGCTTCAGATTTTTTCGCTGAAGCTGCAGCTTTACCCTTACGAGCAGTTGTGGGCTTTTTCTTAGTTTCTGTTTCTTCGATTTGTTCTAAAACTATGAACGTAGATTTCCGAAGAACAGCACTTGGGTGAAACTTTACCGTTCTCATTTTCAGCTTCAATTTTAGTCTTCTGAGCTGGCTTGCGACCCGGTTTACCTTTAGGTTTTTTATCTAAGGCTTCAGCTTCGTTTTCGGCATCATCATCTTCACCGGTACCTGCAAGGAATCTTCGATCGTCGTATCCTGCAAAGACTTCCAAACTGTTTACCTGCATCCTTTTGTTCATCTTCTTCAACTTTCTTGCTCTTTTGAGCAGCAGCAGCTTTGCCTTTGGCTGGCGCTTTTATCGCCATTGGTTTTTCATCTTCTTTGTCGTTTTCTTCCTCATCATGTGTTGGCATGTTTTTGGCTGGTTGGCGTTTACCACCTCGGGCGCCAGCACCTTTTGTTGTTTGTTTTGCTTCAGCTGGAGCGTTGTTCATTTTCTTCTTGGATGGTTGTTCTTCATCATTATCTTCTTCGGTGGATTCATCGCCTGCTTCGGACTTTTTATTCACACGATCGATAAACTGAAATTGGGTGGGATGGAAAGGTGAAGAAACGGACGAAAATTAATTACCCCGGATGCTTCTTCTTGAAGTTTTTCAGCTTCGGATTTCTTTCGTGACCGACCAGCTTTGCTCTAGGATATCTGACACTTATTGATTAGATTAGTTTTCGAACAACTCACAGCGGTTTTCTTCGATTCTGTCGAAGATTTCTTTGGACTTGATTGTTCAGTTTCTGCTGATGGTTGATTCTCTTCATCGTTCTTTTTCTAAAGAAGAAACTCTTCGATATCATTCATCTGTCGATGGCGATCAGATACGAACTTGAATTTGCTTAGATTCAGTCTCGGTTTCAGTTGGTGTTGTTGCTTGTTTATTAGCTGCTTTTTTTGGTGCCATTGTTGATCTATTTACTGATCGATCGTTCGAATTCTGAAGCAAAAAGAAAGGAAATGAATACAAACGATATATTCGAGACTGTCGAAGTTTGAAAAGAACAAAGACTCGAATTGGTTCTACTACAGTCCGACGACGTTTACGTTTAGTAACAAAGAACAATGATCTGAAAGTGATCGACGTCGGAGAAAATTTTATTTCAATTTATTTTTCTCGAGGTGAAAACATTGAAACTAGCCGCGATTTTTTCATCGTTCTGTACATATAACACAGTAGTGCACTTTACAAATACAGAAGTCAACGAAGAGAGAGTCGCCAAGGAAACAAAAGAGGAATACGGCGGTAATGTTCGACTGAACAAGACGAACTCGATTTCATGTGAATTTAATCCATACATATGGCAAGTTTGAATGGTCTTCATGCGCCATCGAGTGCTTTCACAGAGCCAACGTAAAGAATCGGTTTACCTATTCACACTTTTCCTCATTCTATTTTGTAGTTTTACAAATGAACATCAACTTGTACTGTTGAATAGTGAAGAGTTGCGCTCGAAAAACCGCGAGCAACTCATCGAAAAATTAGAGCGAGTGATTCAAGAAAAGAACGCTTCCATTACCAAACTAGAAGATCGGTAAATTCACGAATCATTTCCTTCGCTCGTATTTGATTCTTCTCGATACTTAGTGAACAAGTGTTAGAAGATTTATTAAAGAAAAGAAATGCTGAATTCCGTGCGCTCGAAGAGCAATTACGACAATACGAAGAGAAGGTTTGTTTCCTTGTCTACTTTTCACCTAAATACCACAAACATATTTCAGACACGAACTTTTGAGCAATTACATCAGTTGCAAGTACAAACGTTCGAGAAAACGATACGTGATTGTCAAAGTGAAAACGAACGTATGTTTTTTCACTCAATCTTTTCAATGAATTTCGGTTTTGTTTAGGTTTATTCGAACATGCTAATGATTTGACGAAGCAAGTACGAGAAAGATCAGATTTTGAGGCGATCAATCAGGAAAAAATCATGGTAGACTGTGTTTTTGAGAATTTTTCCAAGTAGAAATGAAAATTATTTCTAGACATTCGACCGGATCGCTGCTGATACACAACTATGGCGACAAAAACTTGATTCTTACAAAGCTG